GACTCGTTTTACTACCTCTAATTAACCTACAATAATTTAATTAGCTAGTAAAAAATAAGTTAGTATCACTTGCAGTGCATGTTTGTTGCACCTCCATATATCCACCGCCAATATACAATTTGCTTAGCTTATAATATTTTTGTATCCTATATAAATGGCATATGAGCCATGGTGTAAATATATCAAGTTGGAAATAAAATTAGTGAGTTTAACATCACTCTTTCTCCATTTTCAATTAATGTGTGTGAGAATATTATTATTAAGTTCCATTTTCTATTAAATTGGTATTAGAATAGGTTAGGTTCTGCTAGTGTGAGTGTCAAAAATATTTTTGCGTGTGTGAGGAACAAAAGAGTTCTCATTGTGTCAAAAAATTATTGTGAGTATTTTTTGAGAGAGATATGACAAACAATTACAACTTTGTTTGGTCCGGTCCAAAATTAACCGTGGAGTTAGAATTTAGTTACTGGGAAATTTTGATGACAACATATCTAAAAGCTCATAATGTTTGGAGCTTTGTGAATCTCGCGGTTCACAATAAAAAGCTGATGAAATCGCTCATAGAAAGGACTAGTTGGCGCTTTTACAAATTCATCAAGGAATTGATTACTCAGTATTTGATAAAATTACAAATGCCAAGACTGTTAAAGAAGCATGATACATATTGAAGTTGTCACATAAAGGAGTTGAGAAGGCTCAGAAGTCCAAATTACAATCGTTGCATAGAGAATATGAAAGGTACAAAATGTCTAATTCAGAAACAATAGAATAATATTTCTCTCATGTTATAAATCTTGTCAATAAGATGAGAGTAAATTGAAAAGATATTCCAAATAGCAAAGTGGTAGAAAAAAATTCTACGTGCGTTGACGATGAAGTTTTACCATGTGATGACTACGATAATTGAGTCACGCGACACAGACACTTTTTCTGTAGCAGAGTTACAGGGAAGCATTGAAAGTCATGTCAATAGAATATTAGAAAATACCGAGAAAGTGGTAAAAGAAGAAGCTCTCAAAAGTCAGGTAAATTTCAACAATACTTCTGAGTCAAGTCTTACTATAGAAGAAAAAGGTCAAAATAATTACAACAATAGAGGAAGAGGAAATTATGGAGGAAGAGGACGTGACAACTTTAACCAATAGAGAGACAACAACTTCAACGGTTTCAATCCAGAACATCAAGAAAGAGGTGGTCATAGTTTTGGATCTACATATTATGACAGAGGAAGAGGTAACTACAATCAAGAAAGGACTAATTATAATTGTTATCATTGTGGAAAGTTTGGACACAAAGCAGTTGACATCAGGCAAATGTGGCAGAAAGTTCGTATAAAAATACCGATGAGTACTTTAAAAATCCATACAATTTATTTTTGGCCAATAATACATTTTCTGAAGAAGAGGATATATGGTATTTGGATACTGGGTGTAGTAATCATATGTGTGGGAAAAAAGAATTATTTTCTTATCTAAACAAAACAGTAAAATCTACTGTGAAGTATGGAAAAATTCAAATATTCCAATTTTGGGGAAAGACCGAATTTCTATCAAGTTGAAAGATGGATCTCAAAACTTTACTGGTGATGTTTTCAATGCTCCTAGTCTTCATCACAATCTATTGAGTATGGGACAACTATCAGAGAAAGGTTACAACATGCAGATTCACAATGGTTTCTGCACGTTGATTGATAGAAATGGCAGATTTATCACAAAGGTAAGAATGACACCAAACCACCTATTTCCTTTAAAAATTCAACATGAAAAATTTCCTTGCTTAAGTTCTATCATTCCAAATGATGATTTGTTGTGGCACATGAGATTTGGTCACTTTCATTTTTCTGGCTTGAATTACTTGTCGAGAAAAGAATATGTGTCTGGATTGCCTGTTGTGAATATTCTAAATGGAGTATGTGAGACTTGTCAAATTGGAAAGAAGCATAGAGATTCATTTCCAACTGGAATGTCTTGGCGAGCGAAGAAGCTACTGCAAATAATTCATTCAGACTTGTGTCAGTGGAAATACCAACACCTGGTGGATGTAAGTACTTTATTACTTTTATTGATGATTTCAGTAGAAAGACTTGGGTGTATTTCTTGAAAGAAAAATCAGAAGCTTGTGATGCCTTTAAGACATTCAAGGAATTTGTAGAAAAACAAAGTGGTTATAGAATCAAAGCATTGAGAGCAGACAGAGGCCAAGAATACATCGTTGGTACAAGTTTCTTTAAGCAACATGGAATTGAGCATCAATTGACAACACGATACACACCTCAACAGAATGGAGTCGCTAAAAGAAAGAATAGAACAATCATGGATATAGTGAGATGCATGTTGAAGGCCAAACAAATTCCTAAAGAATTTTGGGCAGAAGCCGTTGCTACTGTAGTTTATATTTTAAATAGGTGTCCAACAAAAAGTGTTCAAGAAAAGACTTCCGAAGGAGCTTGGAGTAAAAGAAGACCTTCAATCCGGCACCTTAGAGATTTTGAATGTATTGCATATTCCCATGTACCAGATCAATTGAGAAAGAAGTTAGATGACAAAGGAGAAAGATGTAGCTTTGTTTGTTACAGCTCAAATTCAAAGGCCTATAAGATTTACAATCCAGATACAAAGAAGGTGATTATCAGTCGAGATGTGACTTTGGGTGAAGGAGGAATGTGTGATTGGTCCTCAAAATCACAAAAGGATCCAATGGTGACTTCAAATAATTTCTAATAAGAGATTGAATATAATCCAACACTTGATGATCCAGAAACATCCAACAGACAACAAAAAACACCTGATGAGCCAAAAACATCTAATAGACAACAAAGGTCGTGCAGATTACCAGCTAGACTACAAAATTGTGTTTTGAGTAACGATAATGATCCATCTAATGAGGAGATTATCAAATTTGATTTATTTTCAGGTTATGAGCCGCTAAATTTTGAAAAAGCAGGAAATGATGAAAATTGGAGAAAAGCCATGAATGAAGAAATCAATGCAATTGAGAAGAATAAAATATGAGAGCTGACAGAGTTACCGTCAGACAAAAAAGCTATTGGAGTAAAGTGGGTGTACAAGACAAAGTACAAACCCAGTGGTGAGATTGATTGCTATAAAGCAAGGTTGGTGGCAAAAGGATACAAGCAAAAACCAGGTATTGATTACTTTGAGGTATTTGCTCGTGTTGCAAGGTTGGATACAATTAGAATGCTTATTTCGACATCAGCTCAAAATAGTTGGAAAATACATCAAATGGATGTCAAGTTTGAATTTCTTAATTGTAATCTGGAAGAAGAAGTTTATGTTGAGCAACCTGTAGGATATGGGGTCAAAGGAAAGGAAGATAAAGTCTATAGATTGAAGAAAGTATTATATGGCTTGAAGCAGGCGCCAAGAGCTTGGTATAACAAGATTGGTTCTTATTTTGTGCAGAATGGTTTTCAGAGATGGCCTTATGAGCATATGTTATATATCACATATTGATCCTGGAGATATCTTTATTGTGTGTGATCGGATTACACTGAGGTATCTAATGATTCGGACTGCAAGTGCACAGTCTTGTTGTGTAGTTTTAAAAGATATCGAACTACCGTCTTCTATTATTACTTTGCAAATCTAAAGCTAATGAATGTTTGATTGGATTGTAGGGAAACTAAATACTAAATTAAGTTTAATTTTAATTATCAGTAAGCAGAACTACTAGTATGTAATATTGGAACCTCTGGAGCTAGAAACTAGTTGGGTGTCTTTATATTTTCAAAACAGCTTTCAACAAAACCTATTTAGTTTAAAAGCCCTCGTCTCATACTGTCGTTTTATTGATCTAGGCTATGCAGTTAAGTCCTAACGTACGTTTCCTCCATCCCACAAGAGTTAAAAACACCTTTTGAAAACGAAATAAAATCTTAATTAACTTTAAAGTGCTTCCGTTGTATTTTAAGTCAATGCCTAATTACTATTGTCTAGTTAAAAGATCTCAAACTTCCGCTTTGTTGACCCTAACCTCTATCTGTTCTTTACTTTCGTAACAAAACAATTTAACGATTAAAAATAGTAACTTAGACCAGAAAAAGGTTTTGTAGTAAAAATTATCCTAACTAAGTCACTCGATCCCTTGGTTATGTGATCTTACATACCGGTATACGAATCCTAGCCTGACATAATATCATACCAAATCACAGAACAATTTCAGAGACAACACCTCAGTAGCACTGCACCAACTAGAACCGAATAAGAGTAGAAAATAAAAATAAGAAATAAATAAATAAATAAAATTAAAAATTAAAAACTTCACACAAAAATTGTCTTGTTCAAATTATCAACATTTTCTGACAACGGCGCCAAGAACTTTATGACTTTTTTAGCAAGTGTACTAATACGGTCGAAGTAATAAAATAAAGATCGTCTCCATAGGAATTGTAAATTTAACAAGGTATAAATCATGTGATTTAAAGTAAATCGTGCGATTTTTATTTTGATTTGTACAAGTCTAGTCAATCTAATGGCTTAGTCTTAAACATTTCTACCGCTACAATAATTTTTTTATATTTTGCATGATGAGATATCGATCACACTAGATGATGTGTCATCCCTGCTACATCTTTCGATAAGGGAAAGATTATTAGACCACTCTAGGATCACCATGTCTGATGCACTGTAGGTGATGGTGAATTATTTGAGAGCTGGTCTACAGGATGCCCTAAATGAGCTGGAAGACACCAGAGGGTGTCATGCTAGATTTGGGGTGTTTGAGAGCATCCAAAAATATACTTTCGTATTAATGAAGGGTAATTTTGAATTTACATAGGAGGGCTCCTCACCAGTAAGGATGAGAGAAGTAATGCCCTGAAAAAGTGATAGTAAGTTATGAGCAACTGAAGAAGGATGAAAAAGCAGATAGTATGTTTCTAAACTCTCAAAATAAGCTTTACTTTCATTAATTAGGATAAAAAAATTCTTGAAATAAAAAATACATATAACAAATATGTTACTACAAAATAAACAAAAATGTCATCCAGCTTTTGATGTTCTTGTTATTTGTGGCAGAACAACTGAATTAAGATCCCCAGGATAAGATGTAAACAAGCCTAATCCTCCCCTACTTTCTTTTAAATTGCTGTTCTTTTTAAGTTGATCCAACTCTTTAACCCATTCTATGGGAGAAGAGTGCTCTCTTGTGTGAGGATGTAACACAAATATCGAGTTGTATTCACAGTTTGGAAACATGAAGAAATTGAACGCGTCCCCTAATCTGTACGCAACGTAGCCAAAACTCAGTTGATCTCTCGGCGTGAATAGGTGAACCTCGTTAAACCACAGGCAGCTAAACAAGTTATTCACTGCAGTATGTTCTCGAATTATAATTGCTCCTTCTGGTACATCTGAAACATCATAAACTACTGTTAAGTACATGTCATCTTAGAAGTCAGATATAGAATGACATGCAAAAATTGTCGAAACCAAAGAGTCGAAATAAAATGAAAATTAAGAATGTTTCATTTCATGTCTTACCACTAATAGTCTTTTTATTTGAACTCCATGGTTGCATCCCCTCGTAATAATATATTTTCATGTGGAGATCAATAAGTGGCCGCGCGTATCGCTTTCGCCTCTTGTTTGCATCAGCCTCCTCGTAAATACTACGATGATGCTTATGTTGAGCAATGGCAAATGTATTTTTCCCTCGCCATAGGTATCTGCAAAGTAAAGATTCTAGTACAAAGTGAGTCATCCATAAAACCTACAACAACAACCAAGTTTTTTCCCATTAAGTCAGATCAGCTACATGGATCAAATTACACAATTATATTCTATCAAAAACCATATTTCTATCCAACTCATTTAGCTTGAGATCTTTCTTAATAGTTTCTCGCATACTTTTACTAGACCTCCCTCTACTTCTATGGTTTGACAAACTCTCCATCTGAACTACTCTTCTTACTACTCTCTCTCCATAAAACCTATTATGCATTTATGCTACATCCAACAAGAATGTCTTCCTATCCATCTATTTAACATTGTTAAAATTACACTGAAACATACTCCCTCCGTCCCATATTATAAGAGAATTTCACTTTTTAGATTCATTGAATAATTAATGTATCTGGTCTATATATATATAGACTAGATACATTAATTATTCAATGAATCTAAAAAATGAATTTCTCTTATAATATGGGACAGAGGGAGTATCATTTAGTCTGCCTGTGGTGATCTCTTCAAAATGGAAAATCCTATACAAACACCATGAGAAACAAAAAGTCTTGCACAGACATGGTGGTGGATAGATTTTACAGCAATGTAGGTTTAGTTTGTAAGCTCTAAAGAAGAAAAATCAATGTGCAAGATTAAGGGCATGTTCGTTTTGACTTTTTTTTAAAATGATTTTTATAGTATTATATAATTTTGAGTAAAAAAAATTTACAAAGAAACTTTTTATAAAAGCTTCAAATGAAAATTTGGTTTGAATAGTTATTTTTGAACTTTTTTTAGATATCAAAATTCCAAAAAATCACTTAATTTTGAAGCTATTTCAAATAGTTTTACCTAAAAATCATTTTTGAGATACAACTTTCTGAAAATAATGTGATTTCAGACTATCTTTTTCGACTATCTTATAGGATGTCAAAATTAGTCTTTCAATTTAGAAAAAACGAATATAAAAAAACTTGTAAGAACAAGTTTTTTTTTTTTAAAGCTAAAACAAATAGGCTTAAGTGCTGTTTCTCCTGTCAGCTAAAATATAAATGTTTTTCCAAAGTTATCCCGCTTTATATTTTGGATACGCCGAACTAGTATTTCCAAGAGGAATTAGATATGCCGCTATACTACACAAGGGATCTAAGTGTCAACTGCGGAGAATCACAGCTCCATGAATTACAAAAAACTAACAGTTTTCTGTTCTACTAGAAAGCAATATTTACCAGTTCCAAATAACAATTTTTCACTCCCTCTGATCCTATATATAAATGACATTTAGGTTATTTTTTGGGTCCTAGATATAAGAAACATAGTACACTTTTTAAGCTTATTAATTATTGAAATTCCATTTATACTCCGTATTTTGATGCGAGTTTTAAAAAGACGGGGATTCAACTAATGTAACCTATCCAAAAAGTGCATCAACTTCATAGTTGAAAATATCTAAGCCTGTATAAGAGACAAATGATAGCACAAAAGATATCCAACAAAGATAAACTAGGATAGCAGAAATGTTCATATTCTCCGTATTACCGTAAATATAAACAAAGATAGAAGAAATCAGTACCTCTCAAGGATAAGCAACGGATCAACTACCAGCTCCATTTTACCATCAATCCATATACTATACTGTGCTTGAGGAAACAACCTGTGTGTTATAATTTTAGGAACCTTCCCATTCCTTCTTGGTTCATCATAAGGCTGATTCTTAAGAAGAACAAGTCGCCAAATTCCCACCCATTTTCCACCATCGTTGTCTTCTTTCACAGTACTATTTTCCCTCATGAATTTCAGAGATACCTCATCCACAACCATAAGAAAGCAAAAAAGTTTCTCTGAGCGAAGGCTTATATTTGACGGCTGATGAGGTATATCATAGCCATCAAAAATGCCAGATGCAACAACAAATTTGCATTTCTCGACATATTTAATGTCTACAGGATCCATTTCAGCACCGCCACCTTTGATAAATCCACAGTGCACCTAAAGGGTGGAGAACATGTGAAACATAGGGCATTAAGGAATGCAATCACGAAATAAATTTACAGAATTGAGAAGCAATTGCAATTATATTAAATTAATAAAAACTATAAAACCATTACCATTGATTTACCTTCATATTTGACTTTAGTTTGAAACTCTCCTCCCTCTGTTTCCAACTAAGATGACCTCCAAATAGAGGAGACGACTCGGAACTATCATTTGGAACATCATCTTCGATAACATACGATAAATTTTTGACAATTTTGTCGGAAGTTCTTCCAGTAGGGGTAACTATTTTATCAGGGTCATCAGAAACAGGAATCGGACATCCTAAAAGTTACAGACAGCATCAAGATCAAACATCAGTTTTTAATTGATGAAGTCTAAAAATAATAGATGGACTAGAAACTGCCAGAATCTTACTGTGAGGTTTTGTTACAAGTCCCATAGTGTCTAACATGGTGTAAACCTTGCTATTTTTGTTACACATGGCTGCAGGTCAAGCAAAAATAGCTACCTTTTTAGAAATTAGAAATGATGACATAATATTGTAGTCTTGATGAAGAAAATAAAAAGACAATGAATGTTTTTGTTTAACAACCATTCCTTAAAGCATGCCTTTTAATAATCTAACAGAACCTTCCACCAACAAGTTACTATCCTATATTACACATAGCAAATTTGCATCTAAATCCACCGATGAGATAGTACACATTTATACTTCAAAGTTAGTCTCAAACAACTAAATATAGATAAAATATAAGTACACAGACAAATCCCCTCTCAACCTATGCTATCAATCTCGGATGGCGGGGCTGGCCATCCCCAAAAAGGGAACGGAACTGAAGCGGGGAGCGGAACGACCGATATTTCAGAGATGCGGACACTAATACAACACATAATTGTTAAAAATTAAATAAATTAATCAAAATTCATGAAGTATTCATATTTAGAAATAAAAATGAAAAGTCTTAAGCAAAACATACTTCCAAATGGCAATAAAATTCAATAAAATATCATTGCTATCCTTAAAAATTTAGGATAATATCTATCATATATTGCTGACACAGCCGGAGCGGCCATGGCAGAGTGGCGCCATTCCGAATTCAAATCTCATTATCATGGTCGTTCCAACCGAGTCATCTATTTGTGGCAGAACGGCACGGCCTGACACGGTTTTCTGGGTTTTGCTGTTCCGTGTCGACTGTCGAGATAACACCGGAACATGGCTCTCAACCATCCAAGAGAGGAGGGAAAATTAACAAATTCAATTTCAATTTTCAGTACCAAGACATGTTCTACTATTGTTTTATCGAACTTGAAATTAGAGGGTTCCATAATCTTTTGCAGCTTAAAATGTTGTTTTTCAATCCCATAAACATAGAGTGCAGCTACAAGGCTCGTATCTAAAATATCTAATATACAAAATGATGTAACTTATCCCCTTCTAATACCTAATTCTCAATATATCAATCACATTATGACTGATGAGACAATTAGCTGAAGAGCCTATATTATGATTTAAGAAAGGTTAACCACCCGTGATGATGTTGAAAAAGTTGCTAACCTGATAAAAAGGAGACAGAAGTTTGACAAGACCATATATGAAACAACAATGCAATAAGAATTAACAACATCCACAAGATCCCTCCTACGAGAACCAATCGAATAAACCCTTTCTTCCAAACAATCTTCATGGGGTAATCTTGGGGTACCCTCCCCGAAGAAAAGAGTCCCACTTCAAAATCTACATCACCTTTCTCTTGAAGATTTTGATTGCTTCTATCACCTCTTCGATTAAGGCGCAAAGATTTAGACTTTTGAAGATCACCCTCCATATTTGATTCTTTCTTCAAACTATCACCATCATCATCATCATCACTGCCATAGTACAGGGAATGCAAAAAAAAAAAAAAAATTTAACTTTTTTGCATAATTAAGAGAGAAAACAATAAAATAGGTTAATCTATATAGCAACTAATAACCCCATTAATTCCTTGAAAGGGATTCAATTAAAAATCAAAACTTTAAGAATTTTAAAAACACCCATTTGGTCGACTCACCTTTTCTCTTCTCCACCGGACAGTCTCGCCGCCGGAGCCTCCTCTTTCACCGTCTCCTACGACGAAACACCTTCTCCGGTTCAGATCCCGCGCTGGGGCGTTTCCAGATCTATGAAACCACAACGTACGAACTACAGTGGGTTCGCTTCTGAAAGATACAGTTATGAAGTGAAAAACGATAATGCAGTGGCGGTATGTTAAAGACGGGAACACTCCGGCGGAAGTGAGGGTTGTCGGAGTTGAGGAGTCGTTCCGTTGGAATAGGCGTTTGACAATGAGAAAAGATGAATTACATATTATTATTTGGGTTTAATATATTTATGATTCCTATAAATGTTTTAAATTTTGTTTTTCATTTTTATTAAAAAATGGTAAAATTTAGTTTCTAAAAAATTTGTATTCATGGAGTATTAGTCTATGTTATTTTTTTAAAAATTTAAAATTTTAAAATTGTTCTGAACTGGTATAATGATTAGAATTGGTTCAATCCGCTTTCACCTTTGACATGACCCAATAACGCTGGTCCAGCATCTTTGCTCGAGTACGTCTTCGAACGGCACGACCAACAATGCTCGAAACACGAAGAGCAAATACCTAAGAAACGCTCACAACGCTTCCTCCCGTCATCTCATCCTTGTTAGACGCAATGGCTAGTTACGGACATGACTGTCCGTTTTGACCAAGTCCTGACAGTTACTTATTTTTGCAGACCGTCATATCTAGGCGCAAAAATAGGGACCAATGGCTACGCGTCGGGGGCATTATATAAACCTTCACACTTGTGAGGGTCAGGTATCCAATATTCATACAAAAAATCCTAATATCTTTTTTGTATCTCTTTGCACTCATTCTTACTTGATCGTCGGAGTGCCTTGCAGGTACACCCTCCTCATCTCCTCATTTTTTCAGCCAAGCAGACGTCATCATCAAGGCCCACATTCAAGTTTTAATCAACCGGTAAGATCAGTGATGTAACACCCCAATTCTACCCCAAGAAAATTATGCAAAATAAATCAGAGTTATAAAATTTCAATCATACAGATGAATCGGGACGTCGCAAATTCTTCTAACAAATTTGTTGCATTCATCATGGATATATAACACTTTTTCAAAACATCGGATGAACCATCAACATGACATCTTTCATTAAAAAAATCAACAACTACGCAGTGGAATTCTTCAATAACATCTCTAATAAAATAGCAACTTCGAAACATCTCATATTTAATAATAATCAATTCAAAACTCAACAACTGAAAATCAACAATAAAAAATCAGCAAGCGTTCATCTCCCCGAGTGTTACATATCAGAGCAATGACACCAACTCGAACTATTGAAGGTATACAGCCTTCACTCGCGATTACTTGCACATTATCAACATAAGGGCAACATTCAAACAGAAGGGGTAAGATATCTAACAATATAATAAAGCGCGTGATAATTAATATATTAAATTAGATCACTAATATCACCACTTCTCATCTCATAATCAACAATAATTATAGAATATATTCTCATTCATCAACATCAAATACACTTCATTATTCAATCATATAATGCGACTCAAAACTATACAAATGCATATGGTACCATTGGAGCAGAACTCTCGTCTCAAAAATCTGCCAATTAATAGAGGCATCAACAAGGCATAGCCTTCATCTCAAAATTTGTCAATCCATGCCATCCCAACGAGCATAAGCTCCATCTCAAAAATGCAATGTATGCGACTCATCATGAATGTAGTAACAACACCTAAGTTAACAACATTTCAAATCATCTCAAAACAACAACATCTCAATCATCTCAAAACATCTCAATCATCTCAAAACAACAACAACTCAATCATCTCAAAACATCTCATTTAACAACATCTCATAATTTATTAAACATCATTTATCATCACAAAATCATCGAACACAACTTCACCAATAACATCTCACCAATACTCAATTGTACATTAATAGTACAATAATTCATCCTGTTATTCTGCTAATTTATATTGTTACTGTCACTAGTCCTACTGTCATAATTCTAACACCGGCCTCCAAACATCTATTATTCATAGTTCTGTCCAAAAATCAGCACAACGGTCATCTACGGGAATTAATTCTAAATCATGCATTATCTGCTAGGATTACACTTCTTATCCATCATTTAATCACCTAGAATAAAGCTCATCGCGTTAGCTAATCAATGCTTCGAACGACATATCAAACGGCATCCTAAAACCCAAGTTACAGCAATTAAAAGCCAATTCTGTCAAAAACCAGACATTATGTATCGACACAAAACCTTATGGGTCGACTCATCCTACTTCATCTGTACACTATGAGTCGACACATCCTCCTTATGGATCGACTCATCCCGGCTTTAAATCACAGCATGCATCGACACATGCACCTTACCGGTCGACTCATCCTGAGTCTTGCAACTACCATGCATCGATGCAAGCCCTTCTTGTATCGACTCATCCTGAGTCTATCCTTGCATATGTATCGACTCATCCAGCTTGAGGTCGACGCATACTGACCCATTCCTGCATAATTATGCGTTTCCTTCTGTATTCTCACTACGGAAATTATATTACCGTCCTACAAACCTTAATATAAATTTGATATTTCATCTCCTAACATTATCCTCTATTACCACACCGATCAAATGATATAATAACATCATTATTTATCAGGAATTCATCAATCTTCATCATACATCATTCATAATACATCCAATTCAAGAACAAAACAACAATCCTCTAAACCCACATATCAAACATCATGAACCCAATTATAAAGTCAGAACCCCATCCTTACCTTGGATTGAAGGTCGCTCTACAATTTTCGGGTTGAATCTTCGTTCTTGCCGTTTTCCACTTTTTTCAGCAGCTTCACGTTCTCTTCCAAATCCTTATTTTCTTTTACTGCTTCTTTCTTCTCTACCTTCTCACAAATAATAAAATAACCTAATATTCTATTATTCCTTATTTCTTATTGGGATCAAAATCTACACCCCCTTATTACTTCTACTCTCTCAAAATAGGCCCACCTTAAATAATATTACACTTCTAATATTATTTCACTACATAATATTATATCACTAATATTATTTCTCCACTTAATATAATAAATCCAATTTAATTATAACACAACCTCACAAATATTCCAAAAATAATTTAATTAAATAATTAATTAAATTACGGGCGTTACAACTCTCCCCCACTTAGAATATTTTCGTCCTCGAAAATTTACCTCAATCAAACAATTCAGGATAAGAGTCTCGCATCTTGCTCTCCAATTCCCAAGTCATGCTTTCTCCTGCAACTCCTAGCCAAACCACTTTAACCAAAACAATCTCTTTTCCCCTCAGAGTCTTCATTTCACGATCCGCAATTTGTACGGCATCGTCTCCACCGTAAGATTATCCCGTACTTGCACATCGTCTATATGAATCACATGAGATAGATCTTAAATATACTTCCGAAGTTGCGACACATGAAACACATCATACAAATTTGAAAGATTAGGCGGTAAAGCCACTCTATAAGCAACATTTCCCACTCTCTCTAAAATCTGATATGGTCCAATAAAACGAGAAGAGAGCTTCTTAGACTTTAATGCTCGCCCAACACCAGTCACAGGTGTAACTCTCAAAAACACATGATCACCGACTTTAAACTCTAAATCCTTACTTCGCTTGTCATGATAACTCTTTTGTCTACTCTATGAAGCTTTCATCTTTTCTCGAATCAACTTCACCTTCTCAGTAGTCTCACGAACAAGTTCAGGTCCAAGTACTACACTTTCACCAGATTCATGCCAACATAACAGAGTTCTACATCTTCGACCATACAACGCTTCAAAAGGTGCCATTCCAATACTAGAATGGTAACTGTTATTATAAGTGAAATATATCAATGAAAGATAAGTATCCCACGAACCTCCCTGCTCAAGAACACATGCCCTCAACAAGTCTTCCAAAGATTAAATCGTCAGTTCAGTCTGACCATCTGTCTGAGGATGATACGCTGAACTCAACCTCAACTTAGAACCCAACGCTTCTTGCAAACTCTTCCAAAAATCAGAAGTAAATCTTGGATCTCTATATGACACAATGCACAAAGGAACACCATGCAGCTTCATAATCACACTAATATAAATCTCAGCCAACCTCGACACTGGAAAACTGATGTTAATAGGAATAAAATAAGCTGACTTCGTAAGCCTATCAACAATCACCCAAATCGAATCATGTCCTCTTGAAGTACTAGGAAACCCCGTCACAAAGTCCATTGAAATGCTATCCCATTTCCATTCTGGAACTTCTAACGGTTGCATCAATCCTGCAGGCTTCTGATGTTCAACTTTCGACTTCTGACAAGTCAAACATGCATACACAAATCGAGCCACATCACTCTTCATCCCAGGCCACCAAAACAAACCTTTCAAATCTTGGTACATCTTTGTAGCTCCTGGATGAATACTCAACTTACTTCTATGACTCTCTTTGTTGTACCCCAAAATTTGCCCTTCTCTTTTCCACAAGAAATCACAGCTTCGGGCTTTTCCTGATTTTTTCAGATTGGCTTAAGAATCGGTCAAACAGACTTTTCTCATCAATCAGACAAAATTAGGGTTTCCATTGATTTTGAATCAGTTCAAGCAGATTGTTAGGGTTTGGTTGAGTTTGGCTCAGGGTTTGATCAGGCAGGCGCTTCTTTGACAATAAAGCAAGAATTAGGGTTTGCACGCACAGTTTCAGAAGAATTTGAATCCACAGTGTTTTAATTGGTTGTTACACTGCTTTGGCGTTTGCTCAAGATTTCTGTTTGTTTCTCAAGGTCTAAACATCTGGGATATGGGCTGAGGCTTGTGATTGAGAGTTTGAAGTGTTTGGTCTAATCAGTGAAATAAAGGACATATGGATGTTTGTTTGTTTAACTGTGCGATGTTTTTTGGTTATTCGGAACGCCGGACGTTTATTGATTATTTATAATTTCTAAGTTAAAATTATTGGATAATTTCCAATTATTATAATTCAAGAAATTTAAGTAATTAAATAAATAAATGCAGAAGACTTAAAAGAGATATCTGACAAAGAAAGATTTTTATTCATTTTTAATTGTTTGTTACAAATATTATTTGAACACTGTAAATTTATTTACAGTTGTTTACATTAATATTATTACAATGATTAAAAGTAATTTAAAACTATATCCTAAATCTCTGGAAATCTTCATCTTCTACTGCTGCTCCCCATTGCTCAACTATATTTATCTGCAAAGACAAAAAAAGGAAG